ATCAATGGAACCAAGGACCCCCCTGCCCCCCCCCCCTACCCCGACCTTCGAGACCAAAAGTACTGGTTTTCGCTTAGATACGTGGGGGCAGTAGGTAGTTTCATGATTAGAACGAAATGTATCATTTTCTTGGAGCGAACAGGACCGGAATGCATGCATTAACTGTTAGCTATTCCCGTAAGAGACTTCTTAGCTCCAAGAATAATCTTATTCGAGAAACTCTCAACTATGGCAAAAGATAGGCTCTTGAAATCGAAGAAAGGGGGACATGAGATCAAAACACGACTATCCAGTTCTTGCTTCAGGTTTTATTTCTGTCTATTTTTCACTTTTAAAGTTCCTACGGGTAGCGAGAATTCCAAAAAAGTACTTTTTCGAAAACGTGTTCCTGGAGATAGTTCCATTGGGACTTCGAGAGTGGCTGATTTTCCGTCGACCTGGCAGACTGATCGTGTCAAAACGCTGCATTTCGTGACGGCTACTGAAACAAGCAATCAGTATATCATCTAGCCGTTGATTCGGAAACATATCTACCAGTTTGTTATCGATCCACTTGGGAGGGGAGAAAAACAAAAATAAAGGAATAGGAAGATTAATATGTATGCTCGAAAACGAAGTTTGAATCCTGATGTTGCTTATTTCTGATCATTTTCGTTTTCGCAGTCTAGACATTTGGACAATAGGGTCAAGATTTGGATATACCCCTCAAATTCGCTATCCTTCACCTTTGTTGCCTGGTACGCTTCACAGACCATCATAAAGGTAACGAAGTCATTCCCATGCACCAGCTCAAACCCCTAATATGGGTAGATACATAACGAAAAGGTGGACCCACACAAATACAAGGATGCTTACCCCTCTTGAACTCGACCAAAACTTCGCACACTTTTCGTGTCTGCGTATCGTCCACGACTTCTGTTCAATGAGGGATGCCGTCGTACTGTCGTATAACGTTGAGCTGATCGACCAGATTGCGCTGAAATAGAACTTATCACAGCCAATCATTCGCAAACGATTGGTGGAGATCAGACCTCGTCGGATACTATTCACATTCGCATTCGGGTGGTACCGGAATGACAAGGCTGCACGACGGATTCGCCGTCGTTTTTGTTGCCAACGACAATAGGCACAGCAGAGTTTGAAGTAGATGTAGGTGAAAATCTGAATGTCGCGGTTTTCAGAATCTTTGAACTTTACCTTTGGAATGGTTATGGATTAATCGGTGATTGTTGTACCTGTGCTAATGTTTCTGCAATATTCGCTAAACACAAAAGCATTAATGGGATACCGACCATAGCATAAAGGATCGTCATCAGACGACCAATGTCCGTTTTCGGACAAATATGACCATATCCTGGAAATGGCAAAGGCAAATTTTCCAGATGAACTCGAGCATCCTCTAGAAATCAAACTCCTTCCTACCTATCGTGGTGAAAACCGTGATTGAATAGAGCAACGCTCCCGAGAAGGTCCATTGGTAAGTTGGCCGAAGGTCGTCATGTTCGTCGTAACCTTCAAGTTGACAAAACTCGAAAAACATCACTTAGAAATGTGGTTTTGTTTTGCTCAACCTTTCTAGTACCGAGGGCCATACAACATCGAATAGCTAAGGGAAGGCCCAGTTGTATCGGCCCAGTTGTTGCTGAATCTAGCATCCCTCTGTATCAAAAGGAGTTTTCAAACTTCAGAAGTATGCTCCTGAGGTCCCACTCTTTTGAAATGCTTTCTAAGGCGAGGATCCAAGTTTTTTTCTATTACAGCAGCACCCACTCAGCCCCTTTTCAGCAACTAACTCAACCAACTCGAAATTTGAGCATATTTCATTTGATATATGATATTATATGATACGATATGATATGATATGACATCATGTGATATGATATGATATCATGTAATGTGACTTCATATGATTTGTTGAAGATCACCAATTGGCTAGCCTCAAAGCAGTTCGAATCGCAGTCATACCTTCGAAATTGACGGCCTCAACCAGCAATTTTTCATAGTGTTTGAGAAGGCGATGTGCTTTTGTCTTCACTTCGGCCTCCTCGATCACTGTGCTGTTATTGATGAAGTCGTACAGCTCGTGTACCACCTGAAACCGTTCAAACAAATCAAGAACTGGTAAAGATTCCTTACACTTCTTGAATGACTTCTGTAAAATGGATTCAAAGTCTAATGAGCACCAGCGGCATTGAATGAAGCAAAACGATAGTTATGATAAACAACATAAAATAGTGATAAAAATAAAATAGCGTTAAAAGTTGCTTGATGAACAAAAAATCAATGGGTCATAAGTACTGAATGGCTGCAAGCAAGATTTGAGAAAAGCAAAGTAATGTGATGGAATGGTTAGAGATTACGTGATGGACATATTAAAGATCAATGCCGAGAAAAAAAATTGAAATTTTAGTCGCTCACATTCCAAGTGTCGTTTTTGATGTGTCCCTGAAACTCCATTTCCTTGGGGTATTCGATCGCTTGAAACATGAACGCGCCGACCACCGCATACACGGCCACCATAAAGCATAGCCCGACATGAGTAATGATGAATGCGGTCGACTGTAAAACTCAATGTTTTTTTTTTTCAAATAAGAAAATTGAGCTGCCATATAACGGAAGCTACTTGACTGTCACACTCATGCATAAACCCATTAACTTGTGGCAGTATAACAACAAAAAAGACTATGTAGAAAAATGGAACAAAGCTTTTTCTTCGAGTCTTTTTAAGTGTTTGTTGATTCACTAAACATATTGCACACCCATTTCTTCCACGGTCTCGCTGTTAAAGCACTTTTGCACAGAAAAACTGCAAATGTGTCAACAGTTCGATAAAGGATTAGAGGATAGTCATTTTCCACTGAACAGTCCCGTTTTGTGATGTGCTCCGAACTCGACCTCCATTCAGAATCGCGATGTAATATTGAATGCGTATGTGGCTTATACAGTGACCTGAGGTGGACAGCCGATGTACAAGTCGAGGCTTTTGTCCCCAAAATGAATTTGGGATCAATGAGTCGACACAAGAGGGATGGCAGGCTTCGTCAGCCTGGGTGGGTATCAAAAAGAGATTTGTTCCCTGAACCATGAAGGTGATGTATTGCGCCACTTGGCACTATACCAACTCCGCTTCTAAAATTAAATGGACTACTAGAATGCTTTTCCGCGTTGCGTCATGGTATGAATGAGCATGCTTCAAGCGCTTAATACTGTTTTACCCAGGGCAACGTTTGTGTAATGAAATCCATGCGCTCCCACTCGATCATATTGGCAGAAGGCAATCTGTATTCGAATAGGAGAAAGACTTGCAATGAGTGATAACTTGAGAAATCCCAATAATTTGTGAGCTCGAGCTCTTAATCGTGGACCTAATAGTCCTTCTCCAAAAATGGTAGTAAGGGTTTGAAGGAAGGAAGCTCTACTTCAAAATTGAGCCCTAGAGGGCCGTATCGGCGGAGTTTCGTTCCGCATTGCAATAATTAATCATGGATGCACTTCGTATTGTTGTGGAGGGCTACGTGAGAAAAGAAAATAGCGTCTGATCGCGATAAATTGAGATAACTCAAGATTTCATAATGCAAAATTGCGGAAACATATATTCAGTGTTTGGAGGGCGAACGATATCAACAGATGAGAAACATAGAACTACGCCCTTCGCCTCTTATATTTCTTCAGAGTGATTTTCTCAAAGGTTCACGCATTTACAAATAGAGGAAGAGTACGGAACCCCTTTAATACGTAGGGGGTGCTACCAGATTTCGAAGACCCCAGCAAGCCAAGGTACATGTTGGATGTGCAAACGTTGAAGGTTGAAAACGAACAAGTTTCCAAATGGAAATGAAAAGCATGACGTATCTTGGAAAAGGAGACTAAACAAACAATTCATCTTTTTACGAATGAATGAATATTATTTCTAAATAGCATCTCCATGAAAATCTCACTGCTGTCCCAATTGCTATTATCGAAATGGCTGCAGACCTTTTTTTTGATAACAATGATTCACCCCTCGTTAATAACAACATCGCGACAAAGGACTTTTTTTTCTTTCGTAAGAATTCAAGCCGTTAGATTGCGGCTGGGATACGGTAATATTCGGCTGCTAGTGTCCCAGGGGTCCAATTGTGTTAACGTACGGGCTCCAAGATGTAAGCGAAATTGCGCTCTCGATGTTGGTCCCACTTGTCAACTCCATGTCGTAACTCAATTCGACAGAGTGCTACCCGTTCCTTCAGACTCAGAACTCTTTTGAAATGCTGGAGAAAATCGAATACATGCCAATGATAGGATGCAGAAATGCAGGCGGTCCTAATCAAATTTATGATATACTCATATCGTCGGGTCGAAACAAAGAAGTAGAACAAAAAATAAATAAAGTAAACAACAACACCGGTCCTGTTCACTTCAATTAGAGCTCCTTTGAGTTTCAGTTTTGGAAAACCTTACTAACGGGTAATTTAGATCTGGAATAACTACGATGCAAACGTAGCAGTGATGAAGTTCACAATGAGTATCTTAGACCAGTAATTCCATGATTAGTGCAGCCACTGGCTAGAGAAGCGCCTCACATCGGATTGCTTCACTAAGCTCAATCTCTTTTATTTAGAGATCCTGCGTTCCTACATGGCCTTAACCCTGCTTTTTACTCCCTTTGAGGAGAAACGATGGGTCGAACAGAGCCTCTCAGCATCTGCATAAATCAAATAGGTTTTTAAATGCTTCCACTTCCAAGTAAGTCGAATGGATTGCTCCCATCAAATAGTTAGTCGTTGAGCATTTCACCTTTTTTTCCTGGCAGTCAACTTGACTGATGGTGTCAAACCATGGGGTTTCATGGCAAAAATATACAACAATAAATGCTCGTTTCTAGCTCGAAGTTCGACAACAAGGCTGAAACGGGCATTCGAGTCCATTTTGCCATTTTCAAGACCCCAGACGCCAGAAAGACAGACGGAGACGATCGAAAGGCTAACAAGGCACCCTGATAAGCCGTATACGCTATTTTCGAGCTGAGAGTTGCGATTGGAACCCCGTCTTCATCTGCAAACGAGCCAAACAGGTCCTTACTTATTTTCATTTGTTTTTTTTAATTCTTGTTGTTATCATTCGATATACTGTACTTCGACTACATAGAGAACCCGAAAGACCAGTCCTTGTCATAACACCCACCGTACAATGACTTTTACGGTTCCTGGGCCCTTGAACGAGGAAGATACTTCCTCTGATGTCATTCCAAAGCCTATCAAAAAGGTTCTTGAACCAATCTATTACCTACCTATTTATGGCAACGAGAAACTCTGAGATCTTCTCAATTTAGCATCTTCCAATTCGATTGCATATCTAACATTCGCCGCAATCTCTGGCTCAATGTCTGCCCGAATTCCAAAAATGGTGTGACTCCCGACGCTTCATTGTCTCGGCTACCTCGTCCCCCGGGAACGGACCCGGACCTCTCTGGCGGCCGCTGATCGATTTAAGTTATGCAGCTCGCGAAACTTTCAACAACACACACATCTATGTCTATGTTGTTCACACATTGAAACACTACTATGATGAAACCCAAAGGTCCAATGTGGAATCGTGGCAAAGTGCTTTTCACGCTAAGCAAATAGCAAACATGATGGTGCTAATAGAAAAAGAAAAGCCACTTAAATAGAATTTTTCCCCCTAGCCTAACAATTATTTAAAGTCGTTGGAAATCATTTGCAAAAACCTCAAAAAATGTATAAACTGAGTTACGTTCTCGCTGTCTTAACATGGAGGAAAATGGCTCAGTAGAATGTGACCTTACCCTGACCGGACCAGGCTCCACACATGTCAGGGTTTCAGCCCCTGGTAGAGTTTTTAGGCTGCTGTTGAAGGCTATATGTATCCTCTTGAAAGACGAGGGATTCCTAGTGCCCAAAAATGTAGGGAAGCGGTGCCGCAACAAGATTAATAAGGGTTTCCAAGGATGCCATTTCTCTCAGAGATCTTGACGACATTCAATATCGAGAGCAAAAGGCGCTGCTGTGCTGCATTTATTGTCAGGAGACCTACAAACACCTATAGACTATGACATTGCTAGCAATTGGGAGGGGGGGAAGGGGAGAGAGAGAGAGAAATGAAAAAGCGGAAACGAGTTGAAGTCTAAAAGTCTTAGAGCATCAATCAATCCCGTCTGAGGGATGTGCCCACGCATTCGACTTCCATTCAGAATCGT